TTCCTTCTCCACTATTCCTTGTCTACTATTCCTTCTCTACTGTTCCTTCTCTACTTTTACTCTTTACTATTCCTTCTCAACTATTCCCTCTCTACTATTCCTTCTCTGCTATTCCTTTTCTAAGGTTCCTTCTCTACTATTCCTTCTGTACTATTCTTTCTCTACTATTCATTCTTTACTATTACTTCTCGTCTATTCCTTCTCTACAGTTCCTTTTCTACTGTTCCTTCTCTGCTGTTCCTTCTCGTCTATTCCTTCTCTACTTTTCCTTCTCGTCTATTCCTTCTCTACTATTCATTCTCTACTATTCATTCTTTACTGTTCCTTCTATACTATTCATTCTCTACTATTCCTTCTCTACTATTCATTCTATAATGTTCCTTCTCTATTGTTCCTTCTCTACCGTTCATTCTCTACTATTCCTTCTCTACTATTCCTTCTCTACTTTTCATTCTCGTCTATTCCTTCTCTACTATTCCTTCTCTGCTATTCCTTCTGTACTGTTCCTTCTCTACTATTCCTTCTCTGCTGTTTCGTCTTTACTATTCCTTCTCTACTATTCTTGTCTATTGTTCCTTCTCTACTGTTTCTTCTCATTTATTCCTTCTCTACTGTTCCTTCTCTACTATTCCTTCTCTACTGTTCCTTCTCTTCTGTTCCTTGTCTACTGTTCCTTCTCTACTATTCCTTCTCTACTATTCCTTCTCGTTTAAAATTGTATAAACCTCTCAATTTCATTTTCTCCCATATAAGTTCATATTCAGCGTGATGGGTACGAAAGTGCACATTACATTTATTTAACATATGACTTGATTGGTGACATCACAATTATTTAGCGTCATAACTGAAAGTACGCAACACACACCGCCAAACTGGGACATTTATAGAGTAATACAGTTTTTGTATGACACTTTATTTATACAAAGATGAAAGTACGTTACACACACCGTCAACCTGGGACATTTATAGAGTTAAACACTTCTTGTATGACACATTATCGATACGGAGCATAAAGTGCATTACACACACCGTCAACCTGGGACATTAAAGAGCTTAACACTTCTTGTATGACACTTTATTGATACGAAGCTGAAAGTACATTACACACACCGCCAAACTGGGACATTTATAGAGTAAAACACTTCTTGTATGACATTTTATTGATAAGAAGCTGAAAGTACATTACACACACCGCCAACCTGGGTCATTTATAGAGTAAAACACTTCTTGTATGACACTTTATTGATACGAAGCTGAAAGTACATTACACACACCGTCAAACTAGGACATTTATAGAATAAAACACTTCTTGTATGACACTCTATGATACGAAGCTGAAAGTACATTACACACACCGTCAAACTGGGACATTTATAGAGTAAAACACTTCTTGTATGACACTTTATTGATACGAAGCTGAAAGTACATTACACACACCGTCAAACTGGAACATTTCTAGAGTTAAACACTTCTTGTATGACACTCTATGATACGAAGCTGAAAGTACGTTATACACACCGTCAACCTGGGACATTATAGAGTTAAACACTTCTTGTATGACACTTTATTGATACGGAGCTGAAAGAAAATTACACACACCGTCAACCTGGGACATTTATAGAGTAAAACACTTCTTGTATGACACTTTATTGATACGAAGCTGAAAGTACATTACACACACCGTTAACCTGGGACATTTATAGAGTTAAACACTTCTTGTATGACACTTTATTGATACGGAGCTGAAAGAACATTACACACACCGTCAACCTGGGACATTTATAGAGTTAAACACTTCTTGTATGACACTTTATTGATACGAAGATGAAAGTACATTACAAACACCGTCAACCTGGGACATTTATAGAGTAAAACACTTCTTGTATGACACTTTATTGACACGAAGCTGAAAGTACATTACACACACCGCCAAACCGGGACATTTATAGAGTAAAACCCTTCTTTTATGACACTTTATTGATACGAAGCTGAAAGTACATTACACACACCGCCAACCTGGGTCATTTATAGAGTAAAACACTTCTTGTATGACACTTTATTGACACGAAGCTGAAAGTACATTACACACACCGTCAACCTGGGACATTTATAGAGTAAAACACTTTTTGTATGACACTTTATTGATACGGAGCTGAAAGTACGTTACACACACCGTCAACCTTGGACATTTATAGAGTAAAACACTTCTTGTATGACACTTTATTGATACGAAGCTGAAAGTACATTACACACACCGTCAACCTGTGACATTTATAGAGTTAAACACTTCTTGTATGACACTTTATTGATACGAAGCTGAAAGTACATTACACACACCGTCAACCTGGGACATTTATAAAGCTAAACACTTCTTGTATGACACTTTATTGATACGGAGCTGAAAGTACATTACACACACCGTCAACCTGTGACATTTATAGAGTTAAACACTTCTTGTATGACACTTTATTGACACGAAGCTGAAAGGACATTACACACACCGTCAACCTGGGACATTTATAGAGTTAAACACTTTTTGTATGACACTTTATTGATACGGAGCTGAACGTACATTACACACACCGTCAACCTGGGACATTTATAGAGTAAAACACTTCTTGTATGACACTTTATTGATACGGAGCTGAAAGGACATTACACACACCGTCAACCTGGGACATTTATAGAGTTAAACACTTTTTGTATGACACTTTATTTATACGGAGCTGAACGTACATTACACACACCGTCAACCTGGGACATTTATACAGTTAAACACTTCTTGTATGACACTTTATTTATACGGAGCTGAAAGTACATTACACACACCGTCAACCTGGGACATTTCTAGAGTGAAACACCTCTTGTATGACACTTTATTGATACGAAGCTGAAAGTACATTACACACACCGTCAACCTGGGACATTTGTAGAGTGAAACACCTCTTGTATGACACTTTATTGATCCGAAGCTGAAAGTACATTACACACACCGTCAACCTGGGACATTTATACGGTTAAACACTTATTGTATGACACTATATCTATACGAAGCTGAAAGTGCGTTACACAATCCAGTCATCATCTGATTTCTGTTAATGTGAACATTAATGTTTACACGATATTGATGGGGATGACAGTACGTCTCACACATCGTTACTGATGGATCTTCTGTCATCCAGACTATACCAAGGTTGTACGGTAATACATTGAACTTACACTAAGTTACACGACTATACCAAGGTTGTACGGTAATACATTGGACTTACACTAAGTTACACGCCTATACCAAGATTGTACGGCAATACATTGAACTTACACTGAGTTACACGACTATACCAAGATTGTACGGTATTACATTGAACTTACACTAAGTTACACGGCTATACCAAGATTGTACGGTATTACATTGAACTTACACTAAGTTACACGACTATACCAAGATTGTTCGGTAATACATTGAACTTACACGTCGTATAACGACGGCCCATCTAATCAGTGTTTATGTGGACCTTTTTTACCTTTGTTGCTACCCATGTTGTTGTTCCTAAATAAAAGGAGTCTTTCACATTTGTATGTGTTTGTCCGTGAAAGTAATCGACAAAATCATGATTTTTACTTAAATCGCTAATCTCAGAACATGTAACGTACAATAAATTAAGGTCTTAATTTCAACGTTTTAAAGTGTACCACATTTGCGCCATCAGTTATTGGTGAACATTTCACTACAGTATCAATATGAACGAAAACAAAATTAGCTGAACACAGCATTGTGTTAATGAAGATGCGAGTAGTTTACGTAGCTTATTGCATCAACCTATGTAAAACATCTCATTAATCTGCTAGACTTTGTACTGTTCTGTAACAAGAGATACTAGACCCTAGAACCACTTCAGGATATCTCAGCACAAGGATGTATGTGAAAATTGCATACTTGCACAAATAATATACATTGTGACGGGGCGTGTGAAGGTTGTCTTTTTGTTGTTGTGTGGGGGCTGTCTATTTAATGGGATAACAAGATCTTTACATACTTGTTTAACAGCAGCTGAAGCTAAGATAATTGTATGATTTTGGCGTCATTACTTGTGAAACGATAACCTCAAGTTTTCGATAAAAAGGCACAAACATAAATGATACTGACCACATACTGCCCGTCGTGGTCGTTCCGTGCAAAAGTGCTACAGATCCTGGACCGTTTTCCGTTCCGCAAAAATTCCACGCAAATATAACACACTCTAGGAAAAGGAAAAGGAATTATAGTATATAAAACACACTCTAGGAAAAGGAAAAGGAATTATAGTATATAAAACGCTGACAGTTTGTTTATGTTTCAGTTTCTGATGACATGACATGATTTTAATTTGGTGATCCCATCAATCTTTATACGTAAACCGTTTAAAGTATGCAAGAAACTTCCTTTTTTTTCTAACCATGTTCAACCAGAAGAATGTATTAATGGTTATTTCACTAACCCACTTTATAAAAACATTATGGTCTTGAGTTTCACCCATGTCTGTATAGTGACGGGAGGCATGACAGATACGTTTTATTTATTAATCATTGATTATTAAGATTATTTTTTCGGGGTGGAAGTGGGGGAGGGGTTCTGATAGAATTGCTTTGTTCTCTTTCGGTGATTTTTGAGTTCTAGTTGTTATCAGTCTTTGAGTAGTTTGGATGTTGTTCTTGACGATGTGTTACGTTTTTATCTATTCTAACACTGTCCAAAACTCTGGGAATACTCTTAACGCGTATATTTCGATATCTGACAGGGCATTACTTTGGGCGAAACACCAAGTGTTTATAAGGAAAACATATCGCTTAAACTTATATTTGGAAATTTTAAATGCAAACGCTTACAAATTTTCTACATACATTATTTATTGATGTCCTTAAATGCAGATTAATCGGAAAAATATTTACTAAAGGATCTGTCAATTTAATCAGCAATTTACAAATATTTGATGTTAATAACATTTTGATTTTTCAACCATCAGATGTCTTCATCAGCAGAAGTGATGGGATTTACCATGTCGTGCTACGAAATAATGCCATCACAAGCTCTAACCGTGTACTGAAGGTAAGTACCAGTTGCTACGTCATCAGTTATATAACGTTAGCGGCTAAGTCACCAGTAATGCTACTTCAGCACTTATGTTACGTCAGTTGTTACGTCTGCTGTTTTGTCTATGGTAAGATCAGTTGTAACGTCTGTTGTTTTGTCTATGGTAACATCAGTGGTTACGTCTGTTGTTTTGTCCAAGCTTACATCAGTTGTTACGTCTGCTGTTTTGTCTATGGTAATATCAGTTGTAACGTCTGTTGTATTGTCCAAGCTTACATCAGATGTTACGTCTGTTGTTTTGACCATGCCTACATCAGTTGTGACGTCGTTTGTTTTGGCCATGGTAACATCAGATGTAACGTCTGTTGATTTGTCCAAGCTTACATCAGATGTTACGTCTGTTGTTTTGACCATGCCTACATCAGTTGTGACGTCGTTTGTTTTGTCCATGGTAACATCAATTGTTACGTCTGTTATTTTGTCCATGGTAACAACAGTTGTTACGTCTGTTATTTTGTCCATGGTAATATCAGTTGTAACGTCTGTTGTTTTGTCCATGGTTACATCATTTGTTACGTCTTTTGTTTTGTCCATGGTAACATCAGTTGTAACGTCTGTTGTTACATCCATGGTAACATCAGTTGTAACGTCTGCTATTAATTCCATGGTAACATCAGTTGTAACGTCTGTTGTTTTGTCCATGGGAACAACAGTTGTTACGTCTGTTGTTGTGTCCATGGTAACAACAGTTGTTACTTCTGTTGGTTAGTTCATTGTAACATCAATTGTAACGTGTGTCCTTTTGTCTATGGTAACATCAGTTGTAACGTCTGTTATTTTGTCCATGGTAACATCAGTTGTAACGTGTGTTGTTTTGTCCATGGTAACATCAGTTGTAACGTCTGATGTTTTGTCCATGGTAACAACAGTTGTTACGTCTGTTGTTTTGTTCATGGCACTTATGTTACGTCAGTTGTTACGTCTGCTGTTTTGTCTATGGTAAGATCAGTTGTAACGTCTTTAGTTTTGTCCATGGTAACATCAGTGTAACGCCTGTTGTTTTGTCTATGGTAAGATCAGTTGAAACGTCTGTTGTTTTGTCCATGGTAACATCAGTGTAACGCCTGTTGTTTTGTCTATGGTAAGATCAGTTGAAACGTCTGTTGTTTTGTCCATGGTAACATCAGTTATTACGTCTGTTGTTTTGTCCATGGTACCATCAGTTGTTACGTCTGTTGTTTTGTCTATGGTAAGATCAGTTGTAACGTCTGTTGTTTTGTCCATGGTAACAACAGTTAACAGTTGTTACGTCTGTTGTTTTGTTCATGGCACTTATGTTACGTCAGTTGTTACGTCTGCTGTTTTGTCTATGGTAAGATCAGTTGTAACGTCTGTTGTTTTGTCCATGGTAACATCAGTGTAACGTCTGTTGTTTTGTCTAAGGTAAGATCAGTTGTAACGTCTGTAGTTTTGTCCATGGTAACATCAGTGTAACGCCTGTTGTTTTGTCTATGGTAAGATCAGTTGAAACGTCTGTTGTTTTGTCCATGGTAACATCAGTGTAACGTCTGTTGTTTTGTCTAAGGTAAGATCAGTTGTAACGTCTGTAGTTTTGTCCATGGTAACATCAGTGTAACGCCTGTTGTTTTGTCTATGGTAAGATCAGTTGTAACGTCTGTTGTTTTGTCCATGGTAACATCAGTGGTAACATCAGTTGTAACATCTGTTGTTTTGTCCAAGCTTACATCAGTTGTTACGTCTGGTGTTTCGTCCATGGGAACAACAGTTGTTACGTCTGTTGTTGTGTCCATGGTAACAACAGTTGTTACGTCTGTTGTTTTGACCATGGGAACAACAGTTGTTACTTCTGTTGGTTAGTTCATTGTAACATCAATTGTAACGTGTGTCCTTTTGTCCATGGTAACATCAGTTTTAACGTCTGTTGTTTGTTTGTCTCTGGGAACAACAGTTGTTACGTCTGTTGTTGTGTCCATGGTAACAACAGTTGTTACGTCTGTTGTTTTGTCCATGGTAACATCAGTGTAACGTCTGTTGTTTTGTCTATGGTAAGATCAGTTGTAACGTCTGTAGTTTTGTTCATGGTAACATCAGTGTAACGTCTGCTGTTTTGTCAATAGTAACATCAGTTGTGACGTCTGCTATTTTGTCCATTCTAACATCTGTTGTTACGTCCGTTGTTTTGTCCATTGTAACAACGGTTATTACGTCTGTTGTTTTGTCCATGGTACCATCAGTTGTTACGTCTGTTGTTTTGTCTATGGTAAGATCAGTTGTAACGTCTGTTGTTTTGTCCATTGTAACATCAGTTTTCACGACTGTTATTTTGTCCATGGTAACATCAGTTTTTACGTCTGTTATTTTGTCCCTGGCTACATCAGTTGTTACGTCTGTTATTTTGTCCATGGTAACAACAGTTGTTACTTTTGTTGGTTAGTTCATTGTAACATCAATTGTAACGTGTGTTCTTTTGTCTATGGTAACATCAGTTGTAACGTCTGTTGTTTTGTCTATGGTAAGATCAGTTGTGGGGTTTTGTCCATGGAAACAACAGTTGTTACGTCTGATGGTTTGTCTATGGGAACTACAGTTGTTTCGTCTGCTGTTGTGTCCATGGTAACAACAGTTGTTACGTCTGCTGTTTTGTCCTTACGTCTGTTATTTTGTCCATGGTAACAACAGTTGTTACTTTTGTTGGTTAGTTCATTGTAACATCAATTGTAACGTGTGTTCTTTTGTCTATGGTAACATCAGTTGTAACGTCTGTTGTTTTGTCCATGGTAACATCAGTTATTACGTCTGTTGTTTTGTCCATGGTAACATCAGTGGTAACATCAGTTGTAACATCTGTTGTTTTGTCCATGGTTACATCATTTGTTACGTCTGTTGTTTTGTCCATGGTAACATCAGTTGTAACGTCTGTTGTTATATCCATGGTAACATCAGTTGTAACGTCTGTTGTTATATCCATGGGAACATCAGTTGTAACGTCTGCTGTTAATTCCATGGTAACATCAGTTGTAACGTCTGTGGTTTAGTCCATGGGAACAACAGTTGTTACGTCTGTTGTTGTGTCCGTGGTAACAACAGTTGTTACGTCTGTTGTTTTGTCCATGGTAACAACAGTTGTTACTTCTGTTGGTTAGTTCATTGTAACATCAATTGTAACGTGTGTCCTTTTGTCCATGGTAACATCAGTTGTAACGTCTGTTGTATTGTCCATGCTTACATCAGCTGTTACGTCTGATGTTTTGTCCATGGTAACAACAGTTGTTACGTCTGATGGTTTGTCTATGGTAACATCAGTTGTTACGTCTGTTGTTTTGTCCATGCCTACATCAGTTGTGACGTCGTTTGTTTTGTCCTTGGTAACATCAGTTGTTACGTCTGTTGTTTTGTCCATGGTAACAATAGTTGTTACGTCTGTTATTTTGTCCATGGTAACATCAGTTGTAACGTCTGTTGTTTTGTCCATGGTTACATCATTTGTTACGTCTTTTGTTTTGTCCATGGGAACATCAGTTGTTACGTCTGCTGTTTTGTCAGTGGTAACATCAGTTGTAACGTCTGTTGTTTTGTCCATGGTAACATGAGTTGTAAAGTCTTTTGGTTTGAACATTGTAACATCAGTTGTTACGTCTGTTGGTTTGTCCATGGTAACATCAATTGTAGGACTGTTATTTTGTCCATGGTAACATCAGTTTTTACGTCTGTTATTTTGTCCATGGTAACATCAGTTGTACGACTGTTATTTTGTCCATGGTAACATCAGTTTTTACGTCTGTTATTTTGTCCCTGGCTACATCAGTTGTTACGTCTGTTATTTTGTCCATGGTAACATCAGTTTTTACGTCTGTTATTTTGTCCCTGGTTACATCAGTTGTAACGTCTGTTGTTTTGTCCATTGTAACATCAGTTTTCACGACTGTTATTTTGTCCATGGTAACATCAGTTGTAACGTGTGTTGTTTTGTCTATGGTAACATCAGTTGTTACGTCTATTGTTTTGTCCATGCTTACATCAGTTGTTACGTCTGTTGTTTTGTTCATGGTGACATCAGTTTTAACGTCTGTTGTTTTGTCCATGGTAACATCAGTTTTAACGTCTGTTGTTTTGTCCATGGTTACATCAGTTGTTACGTCTGTTGTTTTGTCCATGGTAACATCAGTTATTACGTCTGTTGTTTTGTCCATGGTAACATCAGTTGTTACGTCTGTTGTTTTGTCAGTGGTAACATCAGTTGTTACGTCTGTTGTTTTGTCCATGGTAACATCAGTTAACACGTTTGTGTGTGGTCAGCTTTTACGTCAGTTGTTAGGCCTATGTCTTTTGGTGTAGTTCGTTGAAATGTTTGAATCACTTGTATGACACTTTATTGATACGAAGCTGAAAGTACATTACACACACCTTCAAAGTGGGACATTTATAGAGTAAAACACTTCTTGTATGACACTTTATTGACACGGAGCTGAAAGTACATTACACACACCGTCAACCTGGGACAAAGCAAGAATTTCACAGAATGAATGACCTGTCCGGATGCCAACATGCGAAGGGTCGAACAAGACTTGTAAGTGGTATGTCAGTTGACTCAGGGAAGAAGAAACCTGTGGTGTTCTGATATTGTAATGTATATAAAATCTGACATATCATATGATAAACTACGAATGAATATAGCAGATTGGCATTGTGTGAGAATGCATGAGTTATTTTGTTTTTTTATTTGATTATTATTGCTGTGTAGTTATATGACCCAATTTTTTCAAAATGAGTATTTCCGACGAAATACAAAGGTTAATCCGGAAAGAAAGGCCTACGACACATGAAAACGAACGAGCAGGATACAGTATTGTAACAAAATATATGGTATGATAAATTATTAGGAATAATTTATGACGTAATATTTGAATGAAACATGAAATATAATGTTGGTATTGGCGTGAAGACATTAGATTGTACGGCAAACTTAAATCCAGGGCCGCTAAACCCTTGCTGCTCCCATCCACTTCCAACATATACATATGCATTCATCACATTCTGCGCAACTAAAAAGTTTTCTTATAAATCTACCTTATTGGTCCAGGTCTATCGATTTTAAATATGTGTTAGTGCTTATCTTGTTGTAAATTTACTGATACGTAAGTAGAAATCTACAATAAATAGCTCATAATAAGTTTAGTGAATTAAGTCATATTACGGTATTATACAATAATGATAATAATTTATACATTAATATACTAACCTTCACTAGCAACTATTTCTGTAACATATGGATGACAGGTTATGTCAAATGTGTTGTATGCATCACGTAAAACTCATTGACACACGAAACCTGATTTTACACAGCTGGCATTGCACATAAGTGTGCATGTCTCGGTATGACACCAGTACATGTTAATAGCAGTATTTATACAGACACGTCATTGATAACGGTAGTTCATACAAGTTAGCTACATAGATCCAAGTTTTACGAAAGTACTTACAAATTAATGGAAAGTCTTGCTTAGGAATTTCAATAAGTAAAATAACGTTTGTAGACTGGAGCCAGGTATGTAACAGTAGTAATGTTTATATTAAATTTTATAACGAATTGAATCAAAAATGGTTTTGGATGTGTTCTGTTAAAGGTTAAGATCATTATTACTAAAAGGACTCGAGATCCAGACTTTAGATCGACTGTTCGCAAATATATCATTCTTGGTTTGTCGGTTGACAAACGTCACTGATACGAAAGATAGTATTGCCCCGATGCAATTTAACGTCTTGGTATGCGGATGACCAAAGAGGCGAAAGAGACTATATCTCATTTTGGGTGTTGTTTTAAAAAATCAAGGGTTGTGTTGCTAACAATTGATATTAACAGAACAAAAGATCTGCTCGAAGCTTATTACATAGCGAATGATCGCCAAAACCTCTAGCTTTGTATAAAGGTCACTGAATCGATTGAATATCTAAAATGACAACTTCAGTAAAACGAACAAGAGAATACCAAAATGTAAAAAGGAACCTTAACCTAACCCTATCCCTGATTCAAAATCGATGAAACAACGGGGAAATGGAGCACTGTATAGTTATACGGAAAACACTGAAATTGTTCAGATAGGATTAAATAGGATTTATTAGGACGCAGTCAACTACTTGCCTCTATGTTCATATCATACAATACAAAAATAATAATTTAAAAATCACTCCCGTTGTTAGATTTGTAGCTAGCTAGGAGATTTAGTTTCAGTTCCATATGTTTCCAATGATTGTCCAACATAAGGTCAAAGCTTCTAATTCTAGTAGCCTGTATGACCACCACAGAAGGACTGTTCCATACATCAACAGTTCTGTAGCCAAATAAATGTTTCTTAAAATATCTGATTTACAAGGACAGTAATGTCAAGTATCACGTATGAATAAGTCAGGTAATGTATTGGAAAAGCAGATTAAGATAAAACTCAGTAAGAAACAAACGTTACGTAAAAAACAAATTCCAGTATGACCTGACGAGGATTTTGGTTAGGTCTTCGTTTTCCAAGATATGTTTCCATTGGTAAGAATGGAACCCTCTTTGCATACTTTGATCGCGGGTGCATGCGTACTGCGTGCGTGCTTACAAAGAGAGATAACTCCTAACGAGCACGTGTTCATGATTATGTCAGTAATATACGGTAAAAAATAATTATTAAATGATGGGAGTTCGAGAATCTTCAGGATGAGTGTCCTGTTATATTAAATAGCAGATATAATGTGATATCAACAAGTCTTTTGCTCTTCGCAATACTACTGGTGTATTGTATAAATTTGGAATAAAATATTTATATGTATGTTTAAATTTAAGAACACTGGAACATGTACCGTCTGTTTTTGTTTTCAAAATTTTTTGGTTCAAACATTTCCAATATATCATGTCGAAGGAGCTCTTTCATCTTCGTAATGCAATTGATTTATTGTTTAAATTGAGTTGAAATACGTTGATAGATATCATGTAATACTTTATATTTTGTCATTTTTTGACCATGTAAATGTTTCACTATTAAGGTGTTTACGAGTGTGGCTAAAAACTTATCGACTGAACGTTTTTTTGTTTTGCAATCTTTGGTGTTTACTAAGTACTCTCTTTTTGTGTTTTGTTTTATCTATCACTCTTTTGAACATAATTTTTTGTCATGGCTTTAGTAGTCACCGAGTTCCATTCAACGTATTCATATGAACAATTTGCCTTTTTCCGATTCATTTTTATTACTGTTATTTATTGAGCACAATTATAGACAATAATTCAAATAAAATATTGTTATAATAAATATTTAATCCCTGCCACAACTTGAAATTCTTAATTGTTATTAACGTTCGATGGAAAAAAATTGATATTATAGGATGACCGTGTATCGGGTATCTCCGTTAATATCACTAGGGTCATCACGAGTTAACAGTGGTATGACAAGGGCTGGCCTTATATACTGTAATAGTCAATAAAGTAGTCATTTAGTGTCAGTGCAGATTTGGTAGTGGTGATTTTTCCTAAACTTCAAAGGTGCAATTCCCGTTTTTTACTAGGGAAAATAACAACCTGTCTTTACCAAATAAACTACATAGGAAAAGACGGCTCGAACGAGCTTATATTCTGAAAACGTGATCATCACTTTCGTCACAAATTCTATGCACAATTGGTGATGGATGATTACATAGTTATATGGTATAAAAGTATGAGAGAAAATCAATAAACTACTGCAGTGTAACGCAGACAGTGCTATCTTAACCTAAGGCTCGTGCTTAACTTCAACAGTGTCACTCTCAGCTGGGATCTCTCTGTCTATATCAGAGTGATATATTCTTTAAAGATGGATGTAAAAGGTATTTAAGTCATCATGCCACTACACACCATTGATACAGATATATATTACGACCCGCGTCACATCTGGTATTGTATACGGATATCTTTTCCGACCTGCGTCACATCTTGCATTATATATGGATATATATTACGACCCACAGGATACCTCGCATGCTACTCACTACGGCATTCGACACTCCAAATATTGAATATTGAGTTTTATCTTACCGGTGGCACAGTTACATTGGAAATACTATCTATAACGACCCGCAGAACACCTCACTTTTGATACGAATATGTATCACGATGAAGAGAAGATTTAATGAAACTTCTTTTTTAATAACCTCTAAATATTTTATTATTACTAGAGTTCCAATGGAGAAATAATAGCACTGGCGATCGACACCCACGACTCACTGCTGTTCTGGTATGACAGCTCCACAGGAAAGGACGGTATTTACAAAGGCAATGTCATTGGTGACGGTGTAACGTCTACCACGGTAGTTGTCAACTATCCGGGTAAGTACACCGTATGCTGTAGTGTTGAACTATTTTGTTGATAGACTGAATCATCAATGAGTCCGTGAACAAATACGTTGATTAACAATATCAAAGTGAGCATCGAGCCGAGACCAAGGATTGTATTGAAAACATGAAATGTTAAGTAGCCAATGGAAACTCCTAAGAACAATCACCTGTAACGTAGGTTTACTCCGTACTTGTACATCTAATTTTCATTTTTAATGTTATGACATGTACTAGTATTTTCTTTCAGAAATGTACGTCACTGGTCTTGCAGTTGATTGGGTTATCAAACATTTGTATTGGACCGACTCTTTCCACTCGTTTGTAACGGTTTCGGATTATTCTGGAAATAATCGCGTGGTGGCTGTGACGTCCAAACTGATGTTACCAAGAGGAATAACCGTCGATCCAATCAATAGGTTCGTGTTACAATGTAATATAATACTAAAGTACCAATAGACATATACATGGGATACAGTAACGAAATGTTCATTTCACATCATTAGTATAGTATTGCTGGGTGATGTATATACTCCCGAACAATGGAACCAAATCCATGGCTTATAATATTGCAACGTATTGTTTGTTCAATGTTCATTTATTTCCAAAAGTTTACAAGTTATAGGTACAGAATATTAATACAATTAATACTTGCAAATACACGCTCGTCATTTATACCTGTATGATATTATGATTAGTGAACATGTAGTCTCGAGCCGAGGTTTTCATAGCTGTAAGTAATAGTGAAGTTTTGTAACATTATGTTTATCTCATAGTAATGATATTAATCCTATATGTATTAGTGTGACGTAATATGTATTAGTGTGACGTAATATCTATCCTCTAGCTAATATTTATGTGTGATTGTTTAGTAATATCCCAGAACGACAGTTTTTATTCTAATGATGATATGTTTGTAAAGTAGTATATAATTCGAGCATAAGTTTCTAAGATTTTACTTTTAAATTTATATGTCCCCGGTATTGTTCATTATCGACCTTTGGATATTATTAAACTGTATGTCTCTTTCCTGAGGAGATCTGACAAGAGCCGTCATTTGGTGAATGACTATTTTGCATACACATAACCTTTTAATGTACTCGTTAGATAATGTTATCAATGCTATGATTTGTTGTTATTTACTTGTATAATGTAAATTAGCCTTTTAGAAGAAATTACAATGTAGCATTCATTCTAAAGTAATTTTTGAACTCTCCCTGTATTACTTTATCAAAATATTTGTTTAATATGTTTGTAAAGTAGTATTGCAACTCACCTAATACCAGAACAGTTATAGTTTTACTTTACATTTCATCAGTTTTATGTTATGAAATAGCATAGTATACTTTACTGTTTCAGAAATCTTAAAAAGATCAATTTTAATGTTAAACAACGTCATACTATTTCAAATAATGTTTTAATTTCTATTTTGTTCAATCAAATACATTGATGATTCCATTGTACTGGTGTATACGTAACTCAGTAACTCAGTAACTCAGAGTGGTGTATACGTAACTCAGTAACTCAGAGGTGTCCTGTTACGTTTAGATCTTTATACATCGGGGACCAGGGGGCTCACCAAATCATGAAGTGTGCTATGGATGGTCTCTTCTCTTGTACCCATATATCTCCTGCCGTCTGGCCAAATCAGCTGTTTGCTTCTACAAGGTACAGTGCACACTTAAATTATATGTTTACATACGTACAAAGTGAGTATATATTTACATGTGTACAAAGTACAGTTTATAAATACGTGTACAGATAACTATACACGCTGATATAGTGAGTATTTATTTTCAAACGTACAGAGTGAATATATTGATACGTGTATAACTTTGCGTGTTCTGTTTAGAAGAATAGTTGACCCTTGTGAGTCTCATAACGGCATCATGTGTTTCATTTGTAGTGGTGTTCTTGATGCGTGAATCTAATGTATGACTCTAGTGTCGGTGTTTGTGAGTGAATGATTTGTTTTGGTGAAATTAAAATGATTTGTTTGGGTGAAATGATAATGATTTGTTCGGGTGAAATAATAATGATTTGTTTGGATGAAATTATAATGATTTGTTTGGGTGAAATGATAATAATTTGTTCGGGTGAAATGATAATGATTTGTTTGGATAAAATTATAACGATTTGTTTGGGTGAAATGATAATGATTTGTTCGGGTGAAATGATAATGATTTGTTTGGATGAAATTATAATGATTTGTTTGGGTGAAATGATAATGTTTATAAATACGTGTACAGATAACTATACACGCTGATATAGTGAGTATTTATTTTCAAACGTACAGAGTGAATATATTGATACGTGTACAACTTTGCGTGTTCGGTTTAGAAGAATAGTTGACCCTTGTGAGTCTCATAACGGCATCATGTGTTTCATTTGTAGTGGTGTTCTTGATGCGTGAATCTAATGTATGACTCTAGTGTTGGTGTTTGTGAGTGAATGATTTGTTTTGGTGCAATTAAAATGATTTGTTTGGGTGAAATGATAATGATTTGTTCGGGGGAAATGATAATGATTTGTTTGGATGAAATTGTAATGATTTGTTTGGGTGAAATGATAATGATTTGTTCGGGTGAAATGATAATGATTTGTTTGGATGAAATTATAATGATGTTTGTGAGTGAATGATTTGTTTTGGTGCAATTAAAATGATTTGTTTGGGTGAAATGATAATGATTTGTTTTGGTGAAATTATAATGATTTGTATGGCAGAAATGATAATGATTTGTTTTGGTGAAATTATAATGATTTGTTTGGGTGAAATTATAATGATTTGTTTTGGTGAAATGATAATGATTTGTTTGGGTGAAATGAAAATGATTTTTTTTGGTGAAATGATAATGATTTGTTTGGGTGAAATTATAATTGTTTGTTTGGGTGAAATGATAATGATTTGTTCGGGTGAAATAATAATGATTTGTTTGGATGAAATTATAATGTTTTGTTTGGGTGAAATGATAATGATTTGTTCGGGCGAAATGATAATGATTTGTTTGGATGAAATTATAATGTTTTGTTTGGGTGAAATGATAATGATTTGTTCGGGTGAAATGATATTGATTTGTTTGGATGAAATTATAACGATTTGTTTGGGTGAAATGATGATGATTTGTTCGGGTGAAATGATGATGATTTGTTTGGATGAAATTATAATGATTTGTTTGGGTGCAATGATAATGATTTGTTTTGGTGAAATGATAATGATTTGTTTTGGTAGAATGATAATGATTTGTTTTGGTGAAATAATAATGATTTGTTTGGGTGAAATTATATTAATGATGATGATTTGTTCGGGTGAAATGATAATGATTTCTTTGGGTGAAATGATAATGATTTGTTTGGGTGAAATGATGATGATTTGTTCGGGTGAAATGATGATGATTTGTTTGGATGAAATGATAATGATTTGTTTGGGTGAAATGAAAATGATTTTTTTTGGTGAAATGATAATGATTTGTTTGGGTGAAATGAAAATGATTTTTTTTGGTGAAATGATAATGATTTGTTTTGGTAGAATGATAATGATTTGTTTTGGTGAAATGATAATATTTGTTTGGATGAAATTATAATGATTTGTTTGGGTGCAATGATAATGATTTGTTTTGGTGAAATAATAATGATTTGTTTGGGTGAAATTATAATTGTTTGTTTGGGTGAAATGATAATGATTTGTTCGGGCGAAATGATAATGATTTGTTTGGATGAAATTATAATGGTTTGTTTGGGTGAAATGCTAATGATTTGTTTTGGTGAAATTATAATGATTTGTTTGGGTGAAATTAAAATGATTCGTTTGGGTGAAATGATAATGATTTGTTCGGGCGAAATGATAATGATTTGTTTGGATGAAATTATAATGTTTTGTTTGGGTGAAATGATAATGATTTGTTCGGGCGAAATGATAATGATTTGGTTGGATGAAATTATAATGATTTGTTTGGGTTAAATGATAATAATTTGTTCGGGTGAAATGATAATGATTTCTTTGGGTGAAATGATAATGATTTGTTTGGGTGAAATGAAAATGATTTGTTTTGGTGAAATGATAATATTTGTTTGGATGAAATTATAATGATTTGTTTGGGTGAAATTATATTAATGATGATGATTTGTTCGGGTGAAATGATGATGATTTGTTTGGATGAAATTATAATGATTTGTTTGGGTGCAATGATAATGATTTGTTTTGGTGAAATAATAATGATTTGTTTGGGTGAAATTATATTAATGATGATGATTTGTTCGGGTGAAATGATGATGATTTGTTTGGATGAAATGATAATGATTTGTTTGGGTGAAATGAAAATGATTTTTTTTGGTGAAATGATAATGATTTGTTTGGGTGAAATGATGATGATTTGTTCGGGTGAAATGATGATGATTTGTTTGGATGAAATTATAATGATTTGTTTGGGTGAAATTATAATGATTTGTTTGGGTGAAATGATAATGATTTGTTTGGGTGAAATGATAATGATTTGTTTGGGTGAAATGAAAATGATTTGTTTTGGTGAAATGATAATGATTTGTTTTGGTGAATTGATAATGATTTGTTTTGGGTGAAATGATAATGATTTGTTTTGGGTGAAATGATAATGATTTGTTTTGGTGAAATAATAATGATTTGTTTGGGTGAAATTATAATGATTTGTTTGGATGAACTAATAATGATTTGTTTTGGTGAAATGATAATGATTTGTTTGGGTGAAATTATAATGATTTGTTTGGGTGAAATTATAATTATTTGTTTGGATGATATTATAATGATTTGCTTGGGTGAAATGATAATGATTTGTTTTGGTGAAATGATAATGATTTGTTTTGGTGAAATGATAATGATTTGTTTTGGGTGAAATGATAATGATTTGTTTTGGTGAAATAATAATGATTTGTTTGGGTGAAATTATAATGATTTGTTTGGATGAACTAATAATGATTTGTTTTGGTGAAATGATAATGATTTGTTTGGGTGAAATTATAATGATTTGTTTGGGTGAAATTATAATTATTTGTTTGGATGATATTATAATGATTTGCTTGGGTGAAATGATAATGATTTGTTTTGGTGAAATGATAATGATTTGTTTTGGTGAAATGATAATGATTTGTTTTGGGTGAAATGATAATGATTTGTTTTGGTGAAATAATAATGATTTGTTTGGGTGAAATTATAATGATTTGTTTGGATGAACTAATAATGATTTGTTTTGGTGAAATGATAATGATTTGTTTGGGTGAAATTATAATGATTTGTTTGGGTGAAATTATAATTATTTGTTTGGATGATATTATAATGATTTGCTTGGGTGAAATGATAATGATTTGTTTTGGTGAAATGATAATGATTTGTTTTGGTGAAATGATAATGATTTGTTTTGGTGAAATGATAATGATTTGTTTGGGTGAAATGGTAATGATTTCTTAAGGTGAAATTATAATTGCCTTTACTTCACATTCCTGATACAGATATGTCGTGTTTCACTTTGTTTACGATTTTTCTGTTGTCGATTGTTTTGTATATTATTCTGCCGTTCTTTGAGGAATTCCTGATATTGCTGGAATTTTGTCTGATTTTGAAAAATCCACCAATATGAGTGTGGTCCCTATCAGACATGTACCCATTCATTTGGTAGTGTACCTGTGTTGACATGTTTCTAGTCATTTGGTAGTGTACCTGTGTTGATATGTTCCCAGTCATTTGGTTATGTACCTGTGTTGACATGTTTCCAGTTGTTTGGTAGTGTACCTGTGTCCACATGTTCCTAGTCATTTGGTAGTGTACCTGTGTTGACATGTTCCCAGTCATTTGGTAGTGTACCTGTCGTGACATGTTCCCAGTCATTTGGTGGTGTACCTGTGGTGACATGTTCCCAGTCATTTGGTAGTGTACCTGTGTTGACATGTTTCCAGTAGTTTGGTAGTGTACCTGTGTCCACATATTCCTAGTCATTTGGTAGTGTACCTACGTTATCATGTTCACAGTCATTTGGTAGTGTATCTGTGTCCACATGTTCCTAGTCATTTGGTAGTGTACCTGTGTTGACATGTTCCCAGTCATTTGGTAGTGTACATGTGTTGATATGTTCCCAGTCATTTGGTAGTGTACCTGTGGCGACATATTCCCAGTCATTTGGTAGTGTACCTGTGTTGATATGTTCCCAGTCATTTGGTAGTGTACCTGTGTTGACATGTTTCAAGTCATTTGATAGTGTACCTGTGTTGACATTTTCCCAGTCATTAGGTAGTGTGCCTGTATTGAGTGTTGTACTGAAAGATCTTTTTGTGTGTGATTATTCGTGTCATGATATCATACGACTTACTCCGTTATATCCGTGTATTTCTGTTTTTTTATTTGGATTGATTTTATTTTGTCGTCACATGTGATGTGAATTTAAGGCATGACCATATTTGGTGATGGTGTTTTATCACGCACGTTCTTCTTTGCTGTTGAGCTTGTCGCTGGAAATGTTTTTTAGGCTCTTTGCAAAGACGCCATGTAAATACCACCCTTTGTAGATAGGTCTGTTACGAATTGTCCCTTGTTGCGGATGGTAAGCTATGGTTGTTTTATTTCCTTGTTGTTCCAACCATTAGGACACGATGGGTTGTCTTTATTATTGGAGTGTGAAGAGTCCGTTTCAATGATGAGTATTTGTTAATTTACTTTCGATATGCAATGCCTGTTTACTTTGTGTATCAACTTTGATGGTGCAGTATGTTTGAGTAAGCTAGATGTCTGTGCAGCTCTTGGAGTGAAGGTGTTTATGAAAGACGTATGAGACAACGGAGGGAGGGAGCTATGCATGGGATTCGATGTTTGTAAGTCAGGAGTTTTCGCGAATCGTGTTGTTTATAGATGCTTGTAGTTTTTAAGATAAATCGGTTGCTGCTGGGACAGTTTGTTGGTCAAATGTATTCATCACCATGCTTAGGTAATATTTATGTTTCCCCATTTGGTCAGGTTGTAGAAATGCCATGGTTTTCGTTCCTAATAGTCTTACGGCTGCTTCTGTGTCTGCAATGTCGTAATCAACTCTACTAATGAATGGTAACTTTGTCGTGTCAACGATATCTTATATAAGTGCAAAGTCAGGTGTTCCCCACGTGCAGATTGATTATGGTTTTAGTGAGCGAGTTGTTTGCAGTTATTGCGAATAGCGTTTGGAGTTTTGTTCGAGCCTTTGATACATGTTTGCCAACCTAGGCAGGAGGGCTAAAATCCCAGCCTTTGAATATGGTGGTTTCGTGATGGTTGGTGTGTATATTGTCTTAGTATGGCGATTTCCAGTTGTGGGTGTACATTGCCTCCATCAGATGGTGATCACAAAGTTGAATGGTGTTGTATATTCACACCCTGTATCAAATGGGTGGTGTTCAGAACTCGTCTATTGTTCTTGCATATTGTTATGATTTGTTGCGATTTTTGTCAACAACTTTGCTCATTTGTAAACAAATTTGCTTTTAGAAACGTTTCGTGGACAGATGGATGGTCAAATAAGTTTGTCAGTTGTTCGTCAGAACTGTCAAACTGTTATGCCATAGCGGTCAATACGCAACGCCTCAACAACGGAAACATGACGTCATTGTTTGGAATGGTCAAGACAGACTCGGGGCAAATTGTGTCCATCTTAAACGATTTAATCACCATATCACTAAGAGATAACAGTACGAGTGAACGAACGGGTGTTGGCAACACGTACTACATTATGTCCACCAGTACAACTACACAACCGACAAGTAAGTACCAGGACATAGGAAGCAGGCAATACGTTTAGAGTATACTCAACGACAGGTAAGTACATGGATATAGTCAGCTGACACGTACGTACCGGGATATAGTCAGCAGACAGGTAAGTACATGGTATACTTACCGACAGGAAAGTACACCGGGATATAGACAGCAGACAGGCAAGTACAGTAGTATAGTCAGCAGACAGGTAAGTACCGGGATATAGTCAGCAGACAGGTAAGTACACGGTATACTCACCGACAGGTAAGTACAGGGATATAGTCAGCAGACAGGCAAGTACAGGGATATAGTCATCTGACAGGTAAGTACACGGTATACTCACCGACAGGTAAGTACAGGGATATAATCAGCTGACGGGTACGTACCGGAATATAGTCAGCAGACAGGTAAGTACATGGTATACTCACCGACAGGTAAGTACACCGGGATATAGACAGCAGACAGGCAAATATAGTAGTATAGTCAGCAGACAGGTAAATACCGGGATATAGTCAGCAGACAGGTAAATACACGGTATACTCACCGACAGGTAAGTACCGGGATATAGTCAGCAGACAGGCAAGTACAGGGATATAGTCAGCTGACAGGTAAGTGCACGGTATACTCACCGACAGGTAAGTACAGGGATATAATCAGCTGACGGTTACGTACCCGGATATAGTCAGCAGACAGGTAGGTACACGGTATACTCACCGACAGGTAAGTACAGGGATATAGTCAGCAGACAGGTAAGTACACGGAATACTCACCGACAGGTAAGTACAGGGATATACTCAGCTGACAGGTACGTACCGAGATATAGTCAGCAGACAGGTAAGTACACGGTATACTCACCAACAGGTAAGTACAGGGATATAGTCAGCAGAGAGGTACGCACCGGGATATAGTCCTTAAACATGTAAGTACCGGGATATAGTCAGCAGACAGGTGCGTACAGGGTATACTCACCAACAGATAAGTACCGGGATATAGTCAGCAGACAGGAAAGTAGCCGGTATATACTAAACCGACAGGCTAGTACCGGGATATAGTCAGCAGACAGGTAAGTACACGGTATACTCACCGACATGTAAGTACAGGGATATAGTCATCAGACAGATAAGTACCGGGATATAGTCATCAGACAGGTAAGTACCGGGATATAGTCAGCAGACAGGTAAGTACCGGGATATAGTCAGCAGACAGGTAAGTACACGGTATACTTACCGACATGTAAGTACAGGGATATAGTCATCAGACAGGTAAGTACCGGGATATAGTCAGCAGACAGGTGCGTACAGGGTATACTCACCGACAGGTAAGTACCGGGATATACTTAACAGACCTGTTAGTACCAGGAAGTACTCAATCGACAGGTAAGCACCAGGATATACTAAATCAACAGGTAAGTACCGTTATATACTAAACCGATACCAACTAAATATTCAGCAGAGATAAGGGAATAAGTTATTTACAATTTTGTTTAGGTACAGTTTTAAAGCTTTTAAGCTGAACTGCATTGCGATGTATTCATTTAGAGAATTATTATTGCAGGGTGTTTACACAGATATTTTATATATCAATTCTAGGTAGTGTTCTATTTCATTGCTGTAGCCTGATTCAATTTTTTTTCCATTTTTGCGTTAGGACAAACAAATCCATGTACAAACAACAACATGGGTTGTTCCCAGCTGTGCTTCTCCGATTCTAGTGACCGGTACCGATGTAGCTGCTCCTCCCTGTCAACCACTGTTATCGCAACCGACGGCAAGAGTTGTAGCCGTGAGTAGATCATCACTCATTACAAAACACTACCTTCGAGTAGTTTCCTCATGTCACTTAAACGTGTTATATATATATGAGATGATCATGTCACTCGTTTTAACAGACCCGTTGTAGATAACTATAATCGAGTGAGGTGAATAACGTGGGGGTCTAGCAGATTTTTTTTATTATTTTTATTTTGATATACAACCATTGAAATGGCATGCCAGCGAGTCAAAGTTTATGATATTTCAGAGGAACGACACTTTATAGTGGTCGTTAAGTTGCTCCACCATCTGTTGATACCGTTTGCATACCACCATAGCTGTTGTGTGGAATGAAAACTCCAAATAAACAATTACTCGTGACGTATCCCGAAGTGAATATAAACGTCACCATGTGGGGTTTTCATGTCACTTGTTTAAGGTTCACTCACATTGTAGTTGTTGTTGAGGTCGCATTAATGTTCAGGTTCACAGTAAGGTTGCCACACTATACTTGGCACTGTCCGCACACTTTAGTGGTAGTGGTGCTCAAGGTATTGATCACATTCAATTTAGGTCTAGTGGTGTTCATAGCACTATTCCAATTCAATGTGGTACTAACGGCGTTGTTCACATCATTTCAGTGTCCACATCAATGTTCATATTGAAATATAGTGATAGTGGTGTTGACAGCACTAGTTATGTACTAACTTGTGGGTATCGTAACATCATTACATGCACTAGGCAGAAGACAGCAACAAAAGTGTCATATAACATATGTGATCAGGATCAGGATTTATAGATAAAAAACTTATCAGTGAGAAAACTTAACCTGAATTTCCTGTAATTTTAATTATGCATTCCCTATATTTCCAAATAATCAGCTTCCAACATCACGTAATTCAATTACGTTTTAATAAGAAACATAAGGGTACGAGGCATTCCAAATACGGCACAAGCAATTACTTCCATTCCAGGTATGAACTATTTTCTTACTGCATGTATGTGTTATGTACTAGAAGTCAATACTCTCATCAGATGAAAAGCATCGTTAAGAACTATGATTTCTCCTGTTTATAGTTCCAAGCAGAACAACAAAGTTCCTGCTGTACGCTGAAGAAGGCAGAGGTCAAATTGGGTTGGTTTCCACAACCTTGAAGGGACACACGGTGATAGCGTGGTCTCCCAAACCAAGAGCCCTTGCGTATGACCCACTAGACAAGGTAGGTAACTACTGCTTCCTTCATTAGGTTTTAATACGGGTTTTACGTTAGTATTTACTGATGGATCCAAATCAAAATCATAGTATCCTTTAACAGTTTAAATCGATGAAACAGTCTTTGATAAACCCCCTTACTGTAAATAGTAGGAAAAAATGGAACATGCAAGTTCAATACTATTGTGCTTTATTATAACAGGTTTATTTTGATTTTTGCCTTCGGCACTATAAGTTCATAGTTTAATTGGTGACTTTATTATTTGATTGTGTATTTTTGAACACTATAATCGTATTGCATAGTTGTGGGCTCTAATATTTCATATAGTATAGTTATGGGTGATATAGTGCATAGGTTGGATGTTGAGTTTATGGTCTCATACTTTTAATACATAAATATTTCCTTCAGGTTGGTAAGTAAGGATTATGAAAAGTTCTTGTTACACAACCAATAAGTGTTTCTATGTAACGTTTTGATGACTAGTACGGTATGTACTAAATCGAGATGAGGGGGCTCATAAACTCTCGAGCATCTATGACAAAGTATTAAACAAAGCGTAGCTGAATCGAGTCATTTCGGTACATATATAACCCGCTTACAGCGTAGCCAATTCGACATCGATTTTGTGGACAACTCGTACATCATATTTTACACCTCTGTATGCATACGCTTCACTGGCCATTTGTCTGATGACAGAATACTTACCGTACTACATCGAAACGTCACATAGAAACACTCATTGTTTGTACTAACAAACTAAAATGTCACTCTTTTTCCAAGCTTACGGAAGCTTCATCAGGGATTAAATGTCACTTATTGGTTGTGTAACAAGAACTGTTCATAGTCCCATAATTTTGTTGCAAGCTCTATGGCTATTGTTTAGTTGCAAGTTCTGTGATCTCATGACTTTGTGTGTTAAATGTAATCATCAATTCACAGGATACAGTGGCCCAGTATACACAGTAGACAAAGTTCACCTAACATTGTGTACCCAGCTCGTTCACAAACATGCAAAATAAATATGTTTATTTTAAAAATTATTTACGCCAACATACCGAAACTATCAAAACTGAATATATTTTAATACAATATCCTTAATGCTATGAACTCGATGTTTGTTTAAGAAAGATATATTGAATTCTGAAAATTTAGTCAGTATTTCTAACGCCTTGTTACCATTGACCTACCTTTGCTACCTATACAGTTTTTGACATATCTTAAATAACATAATGCTGTTTTCAACCTAGATGGTGTACTTCAGTGATACGAAATATCAGACGATTTCTAAAGTTGGACTGAACGGAAGTTCCCTAGCTGTATTTCTATCCAAAGAAAACAATATTGGAAATGTAGAAGGTATGATTGTTATTGAAAATAGTTTTTTCTCTCTCCTGAACGGACGTGAAAAGGGATTGGGTTAACTGCCCGAACACGCGGGTTTTTTCCATGTACTCCGGTTTCCTCCCACATTAAGACCTCCAGAGCGCTAATACGTGGCTAACAAGTTTAATATAAAGCAAAATAAATTGTTTCATAATTGTAAAATATTTTTAAGCGTGGTAATTATGGGGTTTTATACTTGTTTTCAAAATTCTAGTCTCTGCATGCTGTTATGACGTAGACAGACAACTATGAACTAGTGATATAGTCTACGTCATAACATCATAAGGAGATGACGATTAGGAAAATGACTAAAAAAACATAAATTCACCTTTTAATTATAGGTCATTTATGCTTGGATTATTTTAGAAGTTCACTTGAAATAGTATGACAACTAGGATAAGTCAGTAATGTGTTATTATGATGTTTACATAACTGATGCCTATATGTGTTATTATGATGTTTACATAACTGATGCCTATACAAAATGTACCTACATATTAAGCTCACCTGCCCGAAAGGCAAGTGGACTTACGCCATGGTGCGTTCGTCGTCCGTCCGGCGTCAACCTTTAACTTTATTAGTTAAATATGATGCAATTGTAAAGCACTTGGATAAAGGTAAAGAAGCCAGAATGATATTTTGTGACATCAGCAAAGCTTTCGACAGGGTCTGGCATGATGGTTTAATTTTCAAATTAAAAAAATATGGGTTTTGCGGTAATATTTTGAAATGGTTTTCTTCGTATTTAATTGATAGGAGACAGAGGGTGGTCTTTGATGGATTTAAATCTAACTGGAAAACGTTAAAGGCGGGGGTACCACAGGGGTCAGTTTTAGGGCCATTTTTATTTTTACTGTACATAAATGATATCGGAGAAAATTTAATCTCTAATGTCAAGCTTTTCGCTGACGACACATCGTTATATGCATTGATAGAGGGAAACAGACAGGAAGCTGCTGACATACTAAATGAAGACTTACGTAAAATCTCTATCTGGGCTGATAAATGGGGTATCATCTTCAATCCGGATAAAACGGAGGCTCTACTTTTCTCAAGGCGGGTCGACTCTGAGACGTTGCATCCTAACCTATTTTTTAATAATGCAGTTATTAATAACGTTATTGATCATAAACACCTTGGTCTTATTTTCAATGGCAAAGCCAACTGGTCAACTCATATAAATTATATTTATGAAAAAGCATATAAAAGACTGAATATACTTAGAATGTTAAAATTTAAGATTGATAGAAAATCCCTTGAAACAATATATATATCATATGTTCGTCCAATCCTCGAATATGCTGATATTGTATGGGCTAACTGTTCCCAGAGAGAGTGCAACGTCTTAGAGTCAATCCAACTTGAAGCAGCACGCATTATTTCTGGTTTAAGACGAGGAACGAGCCATAACATTTTATATAGGGAGACTGGCTTTGTTAAACTTAGTAAAAGAAGACATTTACATCAAAATATTGCATTTTTTAAATTCTTTAATAACAATTGTCCATCTCATGTCTCAGACTTGATACTGCCCTTTCTTAATAACTTTGAACATTACAACTTTCGACACAATAGGTTATTTGACATTCCAGTACCAAGAACGCATTTATATAACTCTAGTTATTTTCCAAAACTGATGTCAGAATGGAACAATCCAGCCTGTCTGTTTCCCACTATGACATCTCTTGGAGCTCTGAAAAAGGAATGTTTACGTTCATCCCATATGGATGATGTTCACCCAATATGTAGTAACATTTGTAAATATCACGGTAATAGAAAAATTAACATAACATTATGTCAGTTAAGAAATTCTGCAAGTAATTTAAATTCAGATTTATTTAATGCACATCTAAATGATAGCCCTGCTTGCGTATGTGGTTCCCCCTTCGAAGATCGTGATCATTTTTTCCTGCGCTGTCCTTTTTATACTAACCAACGACTAATATTACTTAACTCTCTGTCAGCGATGAGTGATGCTATTCCACTCTATACCCAAACTTTTATTTATGGTTTCCAATCACGAGACGTAAATATGAATATAAAAATTGTGGAGACGGTTCAGAATTACATTAGAGACACTAGACGTTTTTATTAGATTCTCAAATAACTTTGTAAAATAATTTCTTTTATAACAATTGTGATATTTGAAATATGTATTGTCAAATCAAATTCAAAGTACAAATAATCTCTTATTTTAATACTTAAAGAAACACCTGTAAAAGTAGCATTTATATGATATGTATATACTGTTATGTTTTGTAAGGAGAGGGCTTATATAGGCTATGCCTGTTGCCCAATTCCTTTTGTACATAAGATCAGTACAATAAAATATTCTGAAATGAAAACCTTTAACTTTAAACAACTTCTTCTCAGTAGCCAAAAAGCCTATGATGATGATATTTGGCCGGTAGCATGCTGGGATGGAGAGCTACCAAGTTTGTTTAAATGAATGACATTCATTCATTTTCAAGGTCACAGGGGTCAAATATGTTAAACTGATATTTGGCTACTAACATGCTGGGATGAATGCCTACCTACTTTGTTCAAATAAATGACCTTGACTTATATCCAAGGTCACAGAGGTCAAAACGTTTAAACAACTTCTTCGGAATAACCAAGATGCCTAGGGTGTTGATATTTAACCATTGACATGCTGGGATGAATGGCTAAAGTTTGTTCAAATGAATGACCTTGAATTATATTCAAGGTTACAGGGGTCAAAAATGTTGAAAACTGTAAACAACTTCTTCTGTATAACCAAAAGGACAAGAATGATGATATTTGGTCAGTTACACGCTTGGATGAAGGGCTACCAAGTTTGTTCAAATGAACTACCTTCACCCATTAGCAAGGTCACAGGGGTCAAATAAGTCAAATTTTTAAACAACTTCTGAATAATCTAAAGGTCCAGGGTAATGATATTTGGCCAGAAGTAAGCTGGCATGAAAGGCTATAAAGTCTGTTGAACTTAATGTCATTGTTTGAATTTCAAGGTCATATGTGTCACATGTTATATCATTTGATAGATTCTTTTGAATCAAATACTGGTATTTTACATGTAGCTGTATCTTAATCCACTTTTAAGATTACAAGTGTAAGATGAATGCCAGGTGAGCGATTCAGGCCCATTGTGCCTCTTGTTGCATCTGTATTTTGTTTAGTTTCCTATCCAGGGACCTTGGTTGCAGTCTGTAATACATTGCGAAACTCGAGCTACTTGTATAGTCCAACCTGATACACTTAAACAAGGGCCCCTAGGTTCCTTTTTGTGCGCTTCAACTTACTTAATCCCAGATCGGAATTATTTTGCAATAAGTCAAGAGCAGGATTCTATACGGATACTAACGACCAGTGGTGATGTCTGAAGCTTATCATAAGGTTTCTATTTCACAGCAATGACACTAGACCTGAAGCAGCGTCGTCTTTACTTCATCAATCGGTTTGAGTGGGAAGTGAATAACACGACCAGGAGTATGGCCAGGATCGAGATGGCAGGGCTCACAACAAATGAAAGAGTTTTGATACGTCACACAGAAGACAGCATTTCTGATATTGAAATCATTCACCATCAAACAGCATCGTAATATTTTGTTTTGTTCCACAATAAGTATTCATACTTATAACGTTTTGTTGATTTCGACGTTTTATTTATTTTATTAATCGTTTTATTTTCAAAAACAAAATTTTGATTTATCATTTTTAACAAAACCCAATGATCCTTGTCGTGAACTTTCGTTTGCATTCGACTATTGCCTTCTGCTGAGACTCCTTCTCAGCATAATTATACCATAGTCCCCATCTGAAGGCAATACGTTCTTGCGCAGGAATATACAAAACAAAACAATTAGTACATGATACTGACTGTTAGGTATAGGATATATACACATTTATGATCTGTCGATGCATACTTTTTCAATTTGTCTGTATATGTTTCTAAATGATCATCCCAAAATGATCGTGCCTTTCAGCTATCTATACTACTCTGTCGGTGATCCAAGCCCAGCTGTGTACAAGATGTCCCTGGACGGAAGGAAGAGGGTCCCTTTAATCCTGCCCGGTCTAGTCAACCCTACTCGACTATCTAGTAGTGGAGAAACCCTGTTTGTCCTGAACAACCAAAAGTTGATAATCTGGTCGGGTGCTGTAGCAGTCGAGCACAATATCACAAGCCAGGTAAACTTCATACTGTATAACAAAAATGTTTGTCAAAAGTTAACACGTTTTTGTAACAAATGCTTCAAAATATTATGTTGATTAAACAGTGAAGTCCTACGTTTTCAATCGTCATGTGTTAATTTAATAATGGCAAACTGTTTACATTGTTCTTTCATTCAAATCTATTTCACTGACACTGACACTGAATAGTCAAAGGGATTGGGCACAAGATCTTACAACTAGGCTTTCTCCAAAATGTTCCTTGATATACAATGTAAATCATGTCTTATTTCGCTCGCATTGTTTTCCAATCCAGGCTGTGTCCATGACAGGCGAGACCCGGAACGTTTATCTCAGCTCAGGAAGATTTTCCTTGTTCAAGTTTAACAGACTAAGTGAGAGAGCAGGAGATTCTGTTTCTGCTGATGTAGATCCAGTAGACATGCTCTATGTTGACACTCGATCATCAGGATCAACAGCTGGTAAGCATGATGGTATATTCTAGCTACTGATAATGTTCTGTACACAGTAGTTAGTTACCAATTTTTGGATTTGTATATAAAGTTATGACGATAAAAATAATAAGGTATATTTGATACTTGTATGTGGACGCTGTGGTATTTGTGTCTTTGTATGATGACGCAAGAATGATTGTTAATGCAATGGTTTATGTTGTTATTATTATGCATGGACGCTGTGTACTATGCTTTGTACCTGTGTTTGGACGCTGTGGTATGCTTTATCCTTGTGTGTGAAGACGCTGTACTATGTTTTGTTCCTGTGTTTGGACGCTGTGGTATGCTTTATCATTGTGTGTGAAGACACTGTATTGTGTTTTGTTCCTGTGTTTGGACGCTGTGGTATTTTTCATTTCAACAAATTTTATTGACAAAGTTGATATAAGTCAATTGGATGGAATAACAGGCAAAGCCTATATAATTTCTCTCAAGCGGTGGCTAAATTAACGGATTCTGTTATTTTTATTTGATTTAATTAATACATCAATTTTGAAATGAAAATTATAAACACAAAAAATAAAGGGATGCAACTTCTTCTTAATTAACATTACTGAAATACAAATACACTCACACTTCTCAAATCACACATAAAACACTTACAATGTATATAAGCTATATAGCTATCAAATCACACAGATATTTGCAGACATTGACCAAAAGTCCATGTGCAAATATATGCACAGGTCACAGTCGCCAAAACTATTAAGTTATTATAATTTTATATGCAAACAGATAGCTAGTCTATGTGTAATTCAATGTATAAGACGGAAACTGTAAAACAAGACAGATTGAACAAATCTTACAACAAACGAACATGCTCAACTTAAAACTCCTATGTCCGTAGAAGAATACCATTTATAGAAAAGTAGGTAAAGTTACTTAATTGTGGAGTATAATTGAAATAGGGATAGTAAAGTATAAAAGTATAAAGTATAAGGTCATGGCTGGGTAGATCGTATAGAGATTAAAACGCCCCGATTTACCAATAAATAACTGTACATCATTAAGTAACTGTCTGTTTGGTAGTCCATCACAATCAGGGCAGCCTTGTAGAAAAATGTTTGTATCTCAATAGAAGTAAATAAAGTTAGTCTGAAATCATTATACAATGGACATTCAAGAAAATAATGGAAAACTGTTTCATATTCAAAAGAGCAAGCACAAGAGGGACAGTCAGTTAAATGGTCATTGAATAAATCAAAATCTAAATTGCTACAGAAGTTTCTAAGTTGACAATAATATTGGCCCGTCTATCACCTTCAGTTTTAAAAATTATGGTTGTTTCATTATCGATAATGATATCTTTATTCAGTTTGTGTTTAAAGGTTGCAAGAGTTGGGGAGTTTAAGAGATCATTATCAGAAGTGTTAGTTGTGCGGCATATTAGAGGGAGGAAACTGTCAAAATAATTGTTAGTTCTGCATATTGGTGGATTAAACAGTCTTGTTTGTCTGAAGGAATAGGGATTATTGTTTTGATTGTTAATGCAAGGATTTAAGACATCTTGTAAGTATGGAGGTGACAGCCAATGCATTATTTTATACATCATTATGTGTTCGTATTTATTTATTCTTGTTGACAGAGTTTCCCAACCAAGTTCATTATAAAGTTTATTATAAGATGTTCCAGATCGAAGTCCAGTAATGATTCTGGCTGCTTCTAATTGAATAGATTCTAGAAGTTCTTAAGATTGTTGAGTGCAATTATCCCATGCTATATCTGCATATTCCAAAATTGGCCTAATAAATGCTATATAAATTTCAATTTTAATTAATGATTTACGATTGACTTTAGTTTTAGAAGAATATTTAATCTACTATAAGCTTTTTCATATATATTCAGAATGTGTTGTTTCCAAGATGCATCATCCTTTAAAGTCAGTCCTAAGTGTGTATGTGCTGTTGAGTCAGTGATTTGGCTGTTTTTGGAAAGTTATTGGAGGGTGATGTTTGTTATGTTTTATAGAAAATATTACAGATTTAGTTTTGTTAGGGTTAAATTTGATGTCCCATATACCTGCCCATTCACCAATGTTAGAGAGATCATTTGTCAGAACTTGTGCTGCATGTGCTGGGTTTTTATCTATAATAACATATAAGGAGGTGTCATCTGCAAAAAGCTTAATATTAGTTGAAACATTGTCAGTGGTACCTACCTGTCGATTTAGTATATCCTGGTACTAACCTGTCGATTAAGTAAATCCTGGTACTAACAGATATGTTAAGTATATCCCTGTACTTACCTGTCTGCTGACTATATCCCTGTACTTACCTGTCTGCTGACTATATCCTGTACTTACCTGTCTGCTGACTATATCCTGTATTTACCTGTCTGCTGACTATATCCTGTATTTACCTGTCTGCTGACTATATTCTGTACTTACCTGTCTGCTGACTATATCCTGTATTTACCTGTCTGCTGACTATATCCTGTATTTACCTGTCTGCTGTCTATATCCTGTACTTACCTGTCTGCTGTCTATATCCTGTACTTACTACCTGTGGTATGCTTTACCCATGTGTGTGAAGACGCTGTACTATGTTTTGTTTTTATTAATGTATGTGGAAGCAAGGGAATGTTTTGTTCCTGTGTTTGGACGCTGAGGAATGCTTTACCCATGTGCGTGAAGGCGCTGTACTATGTTTTGTTTTTATTAATGTATGTTGAAGCAAGGGAATGTTTTGTTCCTGTGTTTGGACGCTGTGGTATGGTTTACCCATGTGCGTGAAGACGCTGTACTATGTTTTGTTTTTATTGATGTATGTGGAAGCAAGGGAATGTTTTGTTCCATTGTTGGGACGCTGTGGTATGTTTTGTTCCTGTATTGGGACGCTGTGGTATGTTTTGTTCCTGTGTTCAGACGCTGTGGTATGTTTTGTTCCATTGTTTGGACGCTGTGGTATGTTTTGTTCCATTGTTTGGACGATGTGGTATGTTTTGTTCCTGTGTTGGGACGCTGTGGTAAGTTTTGTTCCATTGTTTGGACGCTGTGGTATGGTTTGTTCCATTGTTTGGACTAAGTGGTATGTTTTGTTCCTGTGTTTTGACGTTGTGGTATGTCTGACCCGCGTGTGTATTGAAGAAGTGGTATGTGTTGTCCCATTGTTAGGACGTTATCCTTATCTGTGGATAATAATGCATTTTCCCGATGTAAGACGCTATAATTTGGTCCTGTGTGTGGACGATGTGTTACGCTCTGTCCTGTGTTTTGATAAAGTGGTTTATTTATTTATTGTATCATGAAGCTAAATAAAATTTTGTTTCAATTTGTACGCAAAGGTATGTTTTATATCTGTCGTCGCTCAAGTATATTTTGTCCTGTTGTGTTTTTGTCCATGTGGAATGACGCTGTAGTATACTTTGTCCTTGTGTGTAGACGCTGTAGTGTAGTTTGTCCCTGTCCGTTGACGCTGAAGTATACTTTGTCCTCGTGTGTAGACTCTGTAGTGTAGTTTGTCCCTGTTCGGTGACGCTGAAGTATACTTTGTCTTTGTGTGCGGACGCTGTTGTGTATTTTGCACTTATATGTAGACTCTGAAGTGTAGTATGTCCTTGTGTGTAGACTCTGTAGTGTATTATGTACTTTAGCCTAGATTCTGTAGTGTATTATATGCTTTAGCCTAGACTCTGTAGTGTACTATGTATTTTAGCCTAGACTCTGTAGTGTATTATGTATTTTAGACTAGACTCTGTAGTGTATTATGTGCTTGTGTATAGACTCTGTAGTGTATTATGTCCTTGTGTGTAGACTAAGTAGTGTATTATGTCCTTGTGCGTAGACTCTGTAGTGTATTATGTGCTTGTGTGTAGACTATGTAGTGTATTATGTCCTTGTGTGTAGACTCTGTAGTGTATTATGTGCTTTAGCCTGGACTCTGTAGTGTATTATGTCCTTGTGTTTTGACTCTGTAGTGTATTATGTCCTTGTGTTTTGACTCTGTAGTGTATTATGTCCTTGTGCGTAGACTCTGTAGTGTATTAGGTCCTTGTGTGTAGACTCTGTAGTGTATTATGTGCTTTAGCCTGGACTCTGTAGTGTATTATGTCCTTGTGTGAAGACTCTGTAGTGTAGTATGTCCTTGTGTGTAGACTCTGTAGTGTATTATGTCCTTGTGTGTAGACTCTGTAGTGTATTATGT